TTGTTCTTGTCAGGAGAGGCTATTAAAAATGGGAACCTTGCTGTTGACTGTTGTGTGTAATATTGTGCTTTTACACCAGAGCATGGAATTAATTTGTCTTTCCCTTCACTTTGTCAGTGCTTAATGGGTGCTTTTAGGTGTGAACTCTCTATTTCCATGGTACAACTAAGTAGTTTGTCAGTTACAGAGGAAATGAGTAGTGTCATGGAAGTGGTGATTCCATCACCAGTGGGTTTGCTGTTCTATGTGGATGTTTCAAATTTTGATAGTGATAAAGCATCCCCTTACCGTTTTAGTGGACTTTTTTTTAAAACAGAGAGCAGGAATAAATGGGAGACAGCAATAAAGCAAACACTGGTCTCTTGATCTCTTTTGGCAAATAACTGTGTGGTAGTAGCTGGCACCAGTTTAGAGAAAAATAGCTGTGGAATAATTTACTTTTCAGTAGGTCTCCATCTCTAAAAATTAGAGATTAATTTTAATCTTGAAACTACGTCTTTTTATGCTATTTTTTAGAAGGTGAATATATAATAAAGGAATTATTTATTTCTGTAAGAGGACCTGTGCTTTAGTTGTAAGACAATGAAACATGTTGCCTGATTTACATCAGTAAAGAAACCTTAAGAAATAAATGCTTTTGAACCGTGTGATTTGTATTTTATTATCTTCTTAATGGCTAAACTTGTTTTTTATTCATGTTATCATTATTGAAATTATTCCTATGCAGTTATCATTCAATACTTATTTAATATGAGTTGCAGAAGTGAATCATGTCTATTATTCTAGAAGTTTTGAGCTAATTGAAGGCAGTTGACATGTAGTTTTTATATGATGTTCCTTTTTAAGAATCAGTTTGAGTGGAAGTTTAAAATACTGTTTTGATTTTGGGCAAATGTACCTGAATAAATACAGAAGGAATATGTGAAATTGAAGAGAATCCTAGCAGGAATCACAGATGAGTAGACATTCAGCTCTTCTTCATTCATTGTGTTACTTCAGTTTCTTTCACTCCACTTTCCTTGTCGTGAAGAATTTGGAACCTTCTTCATTTACAGATGTATCTTAGCAATTTTTTTATTTTTCCAGTGTTGTGGTGACAATGTGTCTTGGTTCACATTAAATCTCAAGGAGCTACAGATGTCAAGAGAGTGACATCTTTAAAAAGGGAAGGCAACTATTTAGAACAATTCTTGAGCATATGCTAACTTAATTCCTATTCAGACAGCACTTCAGCACATGCTTAAAAGATGCTCTCAGCAGAGAAGCTGTCTAGCTTCAAGACTGAAATTCAAAATAAGCTGAAGTTATAGCTTTTAAAAAATTGGTACATTTGGCATGTACCTCCCCTGATGATTTGAATAGGGTCTGCTGGTGCTCCAAAATTATGAAAAAAATTTCCATGTAGTCTATAGCTAACTTTTATCCCTACATGCAAGAATAGAATGAGTTTTAACTAGATTCTTCTATCAAGATCTTGATAGAAGACTTGACTTGACTTAAGAATTCCCTTAATTACCCATGGTTTGATGGAGAGGTTCTGCAACTTTTCACAAACTTCTCACCTCTGATTCAAGGCATCCAACTAATGCTTACTAAAATAGTGCACTTCTAATGAGATCGATGCCTTTTAGAAGTGGATGGCTCATTTTGGATATACAAGGAAAGATGTTAAATCTTGATATGACTCAAATAGTGTCAAATAGTCTCAAATGGTGATCCAAAATATGTAGGAAAATAAAGAAAAATCTTTGTATTTGTAATGCTTTCATTAACATCTTTAATTTTAACTGCATGTAAAACACATGTGATTCATTTAGATAGACTGAATTTTGGTAGGATGACAAGGTAGTTTGATTAAAACAAGTGTTTTATTTGTTATTTAGATAAAGATACATTTGCAGTATTTGTGTTCTGTGTTTCAGCATTCCATGAGAGAAAAAAATAGGAACTGAGGCTCAAGTGATATAAAACTGCAATTATTCTTTAGAACTAAGATACTAGTCTAAAAAAAGCACCCCAGTCACTATCGATTTTAAAATAGGCTGAAATAATATGTATCTGAATAGCTTACACCCTTTTAGGTATTTTAAAAATTCTTATGTAAATAATTTTCAAAGATCTTACCTAAACCATATGCCATTAAGTGCAGAAAAGTTGGATGAAATCCAAATAGCAGAAAACAATGAAGAATCACAAGCAAGGTGGGATGTGTTGAAGAGTAAATTGCACTCATGATTGAAAGGTAATACGCACTCATTATATGTCATAATTGTTAGATCATTTTTTGAGATCTTGGGTAGAGGAGAAAGGATACAAAATAGGGATGTAAAAAGTCTATCTGAAAATAAGAGCTGCATTAACAATACAAGGTTGTAGAAATTATAGGATGAAGCTGATATTGCAATGCAGAAATTGAAAAGAAGGTAAAGGTGGAATACAAAAGGAAATATAATAACCCAGGAGATAATGTAGTATAAACAGTAATTTCCACTGTGTTCAGAATAAGAGAGACTCTGGGGAGGAGGCAGAGTGGGGTCTCCAATAGATAGGAAGAATCATTCAGGCACTGAAGAGTTGAAATTGTCAAAGAAATGAAATGCTTTCATTGTCTCATTATTTACAATGGCAAATTCAGGACAGATGTCTAAAAGATAAAGATTTTTAGGAGTCTTGAGGGGGAAATACTAAAGGAAAGCAGGAAAAGAAATTTAAAAAAAAAGATCTTTAACAGTCTGATTTAAAAACAAAGCCAAGTGGACTGGATCCAAAGTGAATGTATGAAGAAAATTGTGACTTATATTGACTGGTACATTTTGAGTAGTATGGCTAAACTCTGTGCTGCTTCCTTATTGACTTTTAACCATGACTCAAAATATGTCCTGACACCAACAGCTGCAGATTAACCAACAGAGTGCTTTTTAGAGAGATTGACAGTTTTAGACTGGAGGAAACAGTACAAATGATACAGAGATGCTGATCAGGTTTGAAAAAAATTGAAGTCTAGGTTTTTTTAAAGCTATTTCCTTGAACAGATTAAATTTGGTTTTCTGTCCATATAAAGTTTTCCTCTGATTTATACTCTTATATACATAAAATATGAGACTCATGAGAACTTTATCCTGTAGTGGGAATTATCCAAATGATCTAAATCTCTTACTGCATCTTTGATGTGTCCCTGTCTTTTCCTTGCTTCTGTCTAGCCTTCCATACAGGAAGGTGACCTATAATTTCCCCTTCTCTCAGGCTTCCTCTCCCCACATCACTGAATTTTTTCCACATGACTCTGAGTCCAAGGTCTCTATTTATGTTATGCTTGGTTGGCATGGAGTTTTATCTTCTCTGCCATGGCCATCTCCATGCAGTGAGAAGCACATTAAAATTATCCAAATCTGACATGGCAAAGTGGGATCTAGGCTAGCTAAATATTTAAAGAGACGGTACAGCAATGCATGAGTTGAAACTAACTTTGTAGAATTGTTTCAGTTCTCAATTTTGTCTTAAAAATTGATCTCAATTATATATTCATGCTTCTTGAATTTGGAAAGAAGGGACATTTTTTATTAGACCATGGTGGATTTCTCTTTATGGGCTGCCAGATATCCACTTAGTTTCTCTCTCACTCCATCCCCTCCACAGGACAGTGGGAGGCAGAAAACAAGATGAAAAATATCTTAGGTTGAGTGAAAGGCAGAGAGATCACTTACCAATTGCTATCAAGTGCAAAACAGATCCAGGAAAAAATAATTGAAAGATTGCCAGTTAAAACCAGAACTGGATGGTGAGAAAAAAATATAAGAACTAAAATACTTTCCCTCATCCTGCCCTTCTTTCACGGGCTCAGCTTCACTCCTTCATTTCCAACTCCTCTACCTCCTCCCTGCTGCGAGTGGCAGAGGAGGATGAGGAATGGGGTTGTGATCAGTCCATGAGAGTTCCACTCTGCTGCTTCTTCCTCTTCACAATTTTCCCTGCTTCAGTGCTGGATCTCTGTGTGGTCTGCTGTCCTTCCAGAACAGATCCTGTGTGGGCCCTCTGGAAGGGTTGCAGTTCCTCAGGATAAAGCTTGAGCACTGGTCCTTCAGAGGCTGCAGTTCCTCCAGGCCATGGCCACCCGCTCTGGCAGGGAGCCCTCAGCAAGCTGCAGCGTGGATAACCGCTCCATCCCAGGTCCCTTCCACGGGCTGCAGAGGAAATCTCTGCTGAGGTGCCTGAAGCGCCTTTCCCCCTCCTTCCCTCACCTCCGTGTCGCAGGATTCTCTCTCACGCTTGTTTTCCTCCCGGGGCTCTCCCGGCGGCGCTGCCCTGCCGGCCCGGGGCGGCTCTGGCCTCTCCTCAGCCCAGCCTGCGAACCCCCACTGCCGCCTGCACCTGGTTCCGAGAAAGATGAGAAAAACAGGCGCTAAATTGCGTAAGGGGAAGCAAAACCCAAGAAACTGTACCCTTATCTGTCAGGACTGTGTAAATTTTAAAATGTCTAAAGCAGTCAATGCACATGATCTCAGCCAGAAATATCAGTGCTTCTTGCCACATGCCATGACAGGGACTATCTTGCAGTTCTGCCTGAGGAGATACATTATGATCTCATGAATGATTTTGATGAAATTTATCTTGATGAAATTTCCACTTGTGAAAGCAGAGTGGCTGTGAAAAGAGAAACTTTATGGGAACACTAAAGCCAGAGCAGCTTAAGAACCCATTTTTCTCTGTGTGACTTCTATTCTCAGCTTCCATTGAGTTTTATTGTATCCAGGCTGTGTCAGAAATAAATTGGTTTTGTTTCTATTCCAGTTTTGTACAAAGTCAGAGGATTGTGAAAACAGCTAAAAGCTTATTTGGTTTTCCAAGCTGAGCTTCTCTGGTTTAATTTTTTTCTTATTTTTTGACAGTATTATGATAGCATTAAGGAATTGTTTATATTTTATATATACTGACTATTCAGTTCAGTACATGCTATTCAGTAGTCATACTATTGTTCTAAATATACTGTTTTGATTTCACAGGTGCCTGCAGAAATATCACCAACAGCCAGTGCCAAATGCTGCCATATAACTACACCACTGTAACTTCAGTTCTTTCCATTGTAAAAAGTACTGAAATGGAAAAATTCCTGAAGTTCTTCAGTTACCTCAATCGTCTCAACTGCTATCAACACATCATGCTGTTTGGCTGTAGTCTCGCTCTTCCTGAATGCATCGGTGATGGTGATGACAGGTATTTGAGAATGAAAATCCATCACTGACTAGAGCCAATTGTGGTAAAATACTCTCTGTCTAATCAGACAAGGGAAGATCCAAACTAAGCCTGTGACCTCATTGCAAAATTCCTGTCTGTCAAAGCTATTGACAGCATTTCTGCCATGATAAGACAACTGGAATAGAGATCTTTTAGAAAAATGTTGCCACTGTATAAACTAAAACTGTGATATTGGGGCAGTCAGGCTTATTTTCCTAAAGAAGTCTGTCCAGAGTTCTTCTGCCTAATTTCTCCAATCTGGCTGTGCCAAAATGGAATGTTTTATAATAGTAATAATGCCTTGGATATGTATAGTATTGTCACAGATTGGGGTAGCCATTTGTTAAACTTCAAATTTGTTCAGTCATTTCCTTCAGCAAAGTTAATATTTTAAATATATTTTTTTGGTATTTAATTGGCAGGATATGTTCAGGGTGACATAAACTATTCTGGAAGTTTAAGGAGCATATATTTTTTCTGCATTTACATAATTTCATAACAGTATAATGTGCATGCACTTTTAAATTGAGTTTGATTTGAAATAGGATCAGTGAGTTTAGCAGAGCTAAAATCAAAACATGACACAAAAAGGGGAAAAGGAATATTTTTAATATATATACACAATCTTTGATGTTTCTGGAGGGGGAAAGAGAGATAATAGATTTCTTTCTCCTTGTTTTAATTTTTTTATTTCCAGTTTCTCCACTGTGAAATTTAGTGGAAGAGAATATGACAATTGAATAAGTGTTTCGAACAATATAACAAGACCAGGAAGTTTAGAAGGAATAGGGTACTTATGAAAGAAGTTCTATGAGAACTGGTCAAAAATTCAGTTGCCAATGAAAGACACAGTCTCACTCCAGGCAATATATGGCTGCCACTTTCCATGCATCACGATAATTCCTGGACTGTCTAATTAAGTTCACTAAAATGACAGAAAATTAACCCAGAATAAGGTGTACAGATGATTACACAGATAGGATTGGTGGGGAGGAAAGGCAGCACAGGTAGTAACAGTGGAATGAGACTGATCTTTAGACTAGCTGAGTGGTTTAAAAAAAAATGCAGAGTGTACATATCTTTGTTAACCTACCAAAAGCTATTTTAAGTTAACCCTGTTTAATTGAGTGCATTATCAGTTATAGCACTTCTGCTCCAGTTCAGTATTACAATTGTTCTACTTAACGAATCTGATAACAGACTTACACTCACTGTTTTCTATAAAAATTATTGAACAAAATAAGAAAAGTGTGTTTAGATAATACATTGATGCATTTAAAGGTTCAACAACAGAGCAGGCCATTTCTCTGTTGCTTCGCTTATTTTGCCTTCTTTGGAATTTGATTTTCACAAACATATTGAGAGTCAGTTGTGTGTATCAAAAGTGCAAAGCTATTAAAAAATTGAGTAAAATGGTGAAGGATAAATTTTGTACTTTTCCATTTCTCTCCTGAAGATGTGTTTTTGCTCTGGTTTTCAGTGGCAACCAAAATACTTTGAGATTCAAGAGTCAGGGGTTTTCTTTAGAGTTTTCCTCTTCCTCTTCCTTTTCCCACTTCCCCCTCCATTCTCTTTTTGTTTCTCCTGCTTTCCATAGCAGCAACCTTCTCCCATTAATTAACAATGTCAAAGCTGCCATTAGATTTTGATATCCTGTTTTATGCCGTGGAGGTCACAGTGGTTCCTCTATTTATATTTTAATTTTTGTTTTTTGGTGGAAAATATTGTTGCCCTTTCAGAGTGATGGAGAAGAAGGTCCATGAGACCGCAAATGATGTAAGATTATGTTAGATTCTGATTTCAGTTTTAGTAATCATATCTCCATGGATGTCACTAAAAATGCAGTCAGAGTGGCAGTCACAGGAAGAATAGTTAGAGTGGATTGACTGTGTCCTGGTTAGTTAAGTCTAATTTGCTAAACCTCAGTTGTCCTAATTTAACTTTCAGTTTCTTCTTTAAACAAGAATACCTTTTTCTTTTCTGTAGGCGACTAAGTGATTTTTGTGATTACTGTCCTTTTTGTAGCATCGAATTATTGCAGACAAACACACATATTTCACAGCCAAGAATAATTTATTTCAAGGAGCATCAGATCTGCAAAAAGTAGTTATTAACACCTTCCCTTCCCTTCTCAACCTAGCCCCTTTCCTGCTTTTCCTCCATAACTCCTGTCAGTGAGATCTAGAGAAAAGCACATATAACGTAGTAGGGGGAAGTTACTTTGTATATTGGGAGTGCAGATACCAAAAATGAAAGAGACAAACCCGTGTTAGATCTCTTGAATAAGGGAATCCAGTTATCAGAAAGATACTGAAGCAGAAGAGTCACTGTGGAAAGCCTCTGGTGGTAATGAATGCCGATATTTCCATATACTGTAGTGCTTTTTTGAGGGGACTGTGGCTGTCTAGAACATACAGTGTCACAAAACAGCCACTCATGTTGTGAGCAGCTGTTACTGCCATCGTCATTATTTCCTCCCCTCAGTTACAGCTGGTTCATTCTAACGTCAGCAGTTCTATATCTGATCATCACTTTTCATTTGTTGTTATCTCTTTGTTTTGCGAAGCAATTGTCCCTAATGTATGCAAAGCTTAATGTGACAAATGTTGTTTACACAGTGTGGAAGGGATTAAACTCCTGTGATGCCTAGATGTCTATTCTTAGGTATTGTTGAGAGTCTGTTGGCAGCTTGCAGCCATGGGAGCAATGATTTTGACAGTGCATTACAAGAAGGAACAAGAGGGAAAGTTACAAGCACTAATCTTTGGCATCCAGTGAGCTGTCGTTACATAGCTTTTCTCTGATATTTAAACTTATGTCTGTTTCCCATTTATTTTTCATGTATTTATAGACATTGTTTTCATTAACACTTGAAGGAGATTAATTTTCTAGGCAGAGAGCATATTCCATGTTTGTGTAGTTAGATACAGGGAGTTCTGAATACTACCACAATACTGATGCTCTTCAGAAATGTTCTGTATCTTACTGCAGTGAAACCATGTGTGATAGTAAAAGTATAGTAATTTTAAAATCAGTATTTAATTTCAGCAACTGGATATAAAATCAGCTAGCCCTGCTGTTTTAATAAAGTACATAACAGTATCTATATACTACTTTACAGAACAGAAAAAGTTTAAAAGTACAACCAAAGCCTGTGTGAAAATGGAAAATGGAAATTTGAAGTGCAGTAAGGCTTTTTTGCATGCTTACCCATAATTTTTGTAGTAAGGGACTGCTTACATAAAGGTGTTATGCAACTTCCTCCTTCTTGAGTGGATGGATGAGATCTTTCCAATATGACTTAAAAAAATCAGCATTACAAAACCCTGTCCTACCACAGTACATCAGCACTGCTAAGAAAATGTGAAAAGTAAAACCAGTGGTGGAAGAACACCTTAAATTAGATGTGCTGAGCTAATGACGTCTAAAACATTCCCAGTAGTAACTTTGTTCTTTTGGGCAGTACTAGTCTGTATCCTCTGGCCACCACATGCAACACTGGTACTTTGTTGTAAGAGAGATATGTCCTCAGAACTATTGGTTATGATTAATAATTTAATCTAGTGAGTTCTTCCTCTGCACTGAAAGATACTAAGAGCGGGCCAAAGGTCAGTTACTACAATGTAGTGGATATTTATTTATAGCAACTTGCATGCATTGGATTCTACAATTCAAGAAGACAATAAAAGTTATTCTGCAATGTTTTCACATTTCAAAAGGAAGAAAAGTGCCAAAATTAATATAAAATTTAAAGACTCAAAATCATGAGAGAAATTCATAGTGGCTCAGCCTATTACTGTGTAATGTGAACAGACTCATTGATGCTTTCTAATGTTTCTTGCACTCTATGAAAAAATCAAATTTCATCAAAAGACTTGGAAAAATAGGCAGGCTATATAAGATCCTGAAGGCCCATGTACATACCTTATTTTGACTTTTTATGCTGGGAATAAATGTGAAGCTTATGATTTACATACCCTATGCTGTCATGCTGCCTTTGAAACAGAAATAATAGCTTGAGTATTTACATTGACCCTCTTTGTAGAAGTGTATTGTAAAGTTGAGGAGATGCCTTCCATTGAGAGATACTCAGAGTTTCCTATCTTTGGAAATCAAAATTAATTTAGACTAGAAAATAGTATTAGGGCAATGCAAATTAGAAAGTGTAATATGCTCCCAAGCTAAAATTACAATGTACCTTGCATTTCTGTACAATTCTACTCACTATGCTTTTCTCATATCAGATATCTTTGAAGACAGAGTTGTGAAGTGGCTTGTCTTCAGGTAGGGCTCAAAGAGTGTATTTGAAATCATGAGTTTTTATGCTGGATGCTGTACAAATATGTACTGAGGGGCATCTTCCTGCCTTTGAAAGTTTATAGCCCACATGAAGAAAACAAGTAAAGGATAGGAAGAGAAGGTAATGCTGGCACATTAATGGCTGAGGAAGACAAAACTGAGGAAGAAATTTGCAGTAGAGCAGAGAACTACTCTGTAACACTTATAGACTATGTCTTTAGGCACAACATTATTTTTCATTTTGATTAAAGTCTGAAAATTAATTTCACTTACTCATTCACTTTACTTGTGATCCAATGTGTAGTGAATGTATGGCAAAACTTTCTGCCATAATTCAACCTTTTTTTTTCCTCCCTTAGATTAATTCTAAAGGGAAAAGACTTTCTTTGATTTTCTAACTCTTTCCTAGAAAGGAATTTCTCATGTAGCTGTCTATATGTAACATATTCCATTGTGCTATAGTATCTATGCTACACAGAGCAGTAGCCAGGTAAAGACTTGTAGAAAGCCAAAGAAGTCAGAATAGGTCAGCATGGTTGGAATGGGAGAAAGTAACTAATGAAAATTAGATTAATACTACATAGGTTCTAAGAAGCTATGAATAGTTTGTGTGCAGTCAAATACTCTTTGAAGAGCTGCTGATAAGAACTCACAGTGGCAAATTCAATTCTGTATTTTTT